TCAACTGCTGTATCCACGCGCCTGTTGTTTATTACTTAACACGAGAAACGTGCTGGGAGACGCCCGGGGTCACACTTTATTCTTGTACCAAAAACCATTCATCCGTACACATTCAGACTAAATCCAGCTTCATAGTCTAGTCAAATCAAACAAGACATTGACGTTTTATACCAAGTTTAAATTTGTTGTATTCCTGTCAATTGATTTCCTGCTGTATTGTTTCATTTTACGAGAATCTTACAGAAAAAGCATTTGCCGTACTCAATTCATTCTGGGAAATGTCATCTAGTACCATTAATGCACGGTCCAGCTAAGCTATTATTCGTGAGCTTAATACTTGTTTTTCCATGAGTGAAAAAGATGGTCCTTGAACTAAATTGACAAATTTAAAATTGCTCTAACTTTGTAATGTGACCTGTGGTTATTGTTTCACAGCAGCAGATGTTAGTCCCGAGAGCCTCTCGCGTGCAATTGTTCTCAGAATTAAATTTGTTTCATCAACTCTCGTCTTGAGCGGAGCAGCCAAGATGGCTTCATGCGCGCTCTGGAGATGGACTATTATATTCTTGGAGCTCATAAAACTCAATCTTCGTGAGTTTTATCACGAAATCATAAGCAGCTGAGGAGGCTCTTATTTCGTGTGAAAAACATTGCTATCCACGGAGGCCTTTTGAAACAAGTTGAGTTTGATATCAACTCTGCAGTTCACTCCAGTTTGCGCGTCTGACAGTATTTGACAACACAAATCCGCGTAGATTGTGGGCACCAAAAACGCTTTTGATTTTTCAGAGCATTTTATTTGTGATCTTAAACGGTACACAAGTTTTATCATTTGAAGAATTCAAAAATTAAAATAAATCTATAACTAGACTTCGCTTTTCTTCGCACTGGCAAAATAAGCTTTCTCTTTGTATCAAATTTCTTAACAATAACTCAAAAATTCATAGCATAATTCATTGAACTCAGCGTCTTGAATAGCGAAGTAACAAAAATGAGTACTGCATTCAATAAATTAGCCCCAGTAGTGGTATTTATTTTGTAATTGAAGGTTTTCTGAAGACTGGTCCCTCTTATTTATCGATGGAGGCGCGAGACGCAGGCGTTTACGCAACGCGCAGTTGTTCACGAAGACTCCATGGGGTTGCATTGTGTGGCGCTCTGCCGCCACCAGCGCCACAAGTGGCCACAGCTTCTGTTTAAACTTAGCCACTTAGCAGAGTTGTGGCAAGTGGCCGCCAGCTGCTCATTCTTCCGAACTTCTTGGCCACTGGCTACTTTTCTTTAATTTGTACGAAGGCCCACTGAATTTCCTTGTATTGTCGGTTATGTTTCTTTTTGCATGCGGTCTTGTTGGTTTTTGTCTCCTTATAGATACGATATTGAAACTAATTTGCGCACTGCTTTAAACTGCCTCCTAATGAGTACAGTGACGTCTATGACCTTCGAAGTCACTCCGTTTTATATAACTTGCTTTGTTTCAAGTTAGTGTACTGTAATAAATTTAAATTAGTATCTATTGTGTTTTTATCTTTAGGAAATACGATTATTATAATATTTGTAACTCAAGTTCTTATATTTAGCTACATGGTCTATGTTTTCGGGCACGTGAACTTTCACATGTGCTCACACATGCGAGAGGTAACTTTTTCTGCCTGGGTACACGAGCTGTGAACTTTTTGGTGCTTGTTTCTCTAGAACTAAAGTTTGTGTTGTTTCTTGCAGCGGCTGCAGTGAAGCGGAAGAAAGACGGAGCCGACGAGTCCTGTGAAGGGTCGACAGACGGTAAGTGTTACTTATAGTATCCTTAGTATTTGTTTCGGACGTAACAGTCCCAGGCCACGATGGATTACTCTAAAATGTGTCTCGGTCAAGCTCCTTCTATATCAATTAAAATGAATTGCATCTGTATTGTATGCAGCTCAATTCGAAGTAAATTTCATGTAGAATATATAATGTTCATCAGCTTTTAAAAATGTTCATAGAGTGCATGTAATGTGAAATTGTGAGTTAAGAACATTAAAACAATTTTCGATGCAGTACAAAATTCGGAATTGATGCTTTTGAACTGATAGGTACTTATTTCTGCTGAACATAGATAACATCGTGTACTGCGCTTCGTCTAAATTACTCACTTTCTAACTCTCTTCTTATTTGGTGAATGTTATTGATATCGTGAATTGTCAGGGTCTCGTGAATCGTATTGATCTCACATCGTATTTCAAATCGATAATGACACGCAATCATTGATTTATTACGAGTTCAAACCTTGTAGAATGACAAAAGTATGGAAATTTTCTGGATTCAATCCATTACTCTTAGTAATGATTAACGATTTTCAATGTACATTAATAGTTTTCAATATTTGATAGAAGTTGTCAATATTTAGAAAATGTTCTTAATATTCATTAACATATATCAATATTCATTAATAGCTATCAATATTATTCGGTGTCAGGCTGCGTGGAGCGCAAGAAGAAGAAGGCCCGTACCACGTTCACAGGTCGCCAGATCTTCGAGCTCGAGCGGCAGTTCGAGGTCAAGAAATATTTGTCATCCTCGGAGCGCGCTGAGATGGCCAAACTCCTCACCGTCACTGAGACTCAGGTCAGAAATTCTCCTATGTATTTCTGTAGTTCAATATGCTTAAAAATGTTGTTCACACGAGTTTTTAATTGTATTGTTGAGATATTGCATTGTACGTATTGATGTTTATGGCATGCAAAAATATCGCATAAGAATTTCTATGATTTCAATTCGAGGCTTTAAAATTAAGGAAGAGGCTATTCCCTTATTCAACACTCTGCCATTTTACTTTGCACGCTCACCCAAATCGTCACCTGCTTATTTCGTAGTGGGAAAAAGACACTATAAAGCAGTGATCAGAAAGCGCAATCTGTTTCCCCCAAGCCAGTGATCATATCTCCATAGCCCGGCGAACGCAGATTGTGCGAGCTCGTTGAACATATGAGCGGCGCCATTAATGGACCAGGCGGCGATATCAGCGGGAAGTTAGCGTCGGAATTCTTAATTACGAAGTTTTCTCGACCGAGTCCATATTTCCCGATAAATTACACGACTTCGATCTCCGTACTCCGCCGCAGCTCGTAAGTTTAGCCTGACGCTTGCCATGATTTGCATCTAATCGGGACGCGCGTTCTTGGGTTTGAATTTGATAGCAATCTTGCCTAAAGTCATTGTTCTTATTGGATTCGGAAAAACGATATTGGAAATGCAATAGTTGAGAGATGTGTCAGGACTGACTACTTTTGAATGGATTCGGAAATTAATGATGTTTGGTAAATTTGTTGATATGCTTAGTTGAATCCATCCGTGTAGGTTGACATTGGTTTCGCTGAATGAAATTTTAAACCAATGAAGGTATTATCTAATTAAACTATCAGTTCATGTGTATAACCGCAGCATTCACTTTTCAGAATTTACAGCCATTCATATGAGATTAGAAGAAAAATTGAATTTTGGGTCACTCATCTTTCTTTAACACTGAATAAGAATATTATGCCATTCTGGTTCATTTAATCAGTTTTATGCTACGTAATCAATTTAAATAATTCATTACCAAATTTGCGAGCTTGGTTGATGCCTGTTTAAGCTTTTTTTCGCACGTCAGTTTATTGCCAATTGTACGCGGCGGCCTCTCTATTGTTGTAGACGATCCCTGACACTGAATGTACCCTTTTTATACATAAAAAATATCTAATTCACGAAGATAATCTTCGCCGCATAATCTGTGGCCATCAAAATGGCGCCGGTGGCCTGTTCATATTTTTTATGGTGTATGCGCAACCGGGAGCTGCTCTCACAATCGAACATTTTAACGCTGCTCTTCCGGCTTTCTTGCGCCACCTCGCTGTGTTTATGACATCGTTCGCGATACTTTAATGCACATACCCATGGTTTTAGTGCAGTTAATGTGCATACAGCCATGGATGCCTTAAAGGCCATCAAAGAACTCCCTTTGATCGTGGATCGCTGTAACCGCTCCTCAACATATCCTTTGTCTATCGCTCACATTATTTAGAGACGTTACTTAAGTCCCATCGAAATACTTACTACGTGCTTTACTCAAGTGGCTTAATTAAATCGTTGTTTTTTACTGCTTCGATTCGTATTGCGACCAGTTGAGTCCGCCGTTATATATACAGCACCAATATAATGTGTACGTCAATTCACTGAGAAATGCCGGCTTTTTGTTGTAGGCTTCTGCGGTTTTTTCAATGTGCGAAAAATGAGGTTATAGGATACTTGCGCCGACTGGTTTGAAATAATTTTTGCTTGCAGTGTCTGGAGTGTCTATTCGCCCCTTTCATCAACTTCTTTATCCAATGCAAATTGGACATATTTAATACCAGCATCCATTTAACTCATAATGACGACGTTGGATCTCATCGAGGAAATTTGCCTGTGCATTGATGTACTATCTCTTACGGCATTTTTCGGGCTTCAAACTGTTATTTCTTCATTTCTGAGAAATTTCGAATTAATAAAAAAAATTGAATTATCTTGTTGCTCATTCTAATCGATTGCCCATGCTCGTGTTGGGAACTGAAACTCATGACCGCCAAATGGAGAGCCGAATTTCCAAACTGACTTCTTAAGTTGGAAGCAACTTGAATTAGTGGAGTCACAGATGAAGCATATAGTCTGGAAGGGAAATATTGGACTGTCTGCAAAAAAACTGCAAGGACTGCGGCACAACCCCAGATGAACACAAGTTTTTTCTTTCGAAGTCACAATGTACATTAGATGATCATTTTAAATTTTCTAACGTGTCCTGAATGAATCTGGGGTGCTTGCGAGAAAATGATGCGAAAATTTCATTGAAGATTCCTCGGAAAATAGGTTAGGTTGGGACGCTGGAGCTGTCAAACACTGCGGCAAGAGCCTCGGCTAATGGTCTGTAATGCGAGCACTTCCTGCTGCCTGCTTTAATCCGCCCCTAATTTGCCTATCTTCTTATCAAAGCCACGCTCGCTGCACGCAGCCGGCGTGCACGTCTGATGCACGAGTGCATGCGGTCACAGCAATAAGCATTAATGTTATGTGTGCTTTATGCGTATGTGTGATACGAATGTGATGAGATAGCTGCGTGTACTCATATACCTGACACCACCATTACGGCGAGAACAAGTTAATTTTATGAGAGGAGTTCACCAATGGTTTGGAAATTTTAGCTTTGGATATTATTACTTAGTGCAAACTAAATAATACAATACACTCAATAATCGAAGAATCTCACGGGATTCATCGATGTGAACATTGCTGCCATGCTTGCCATTCTAACTTTCTCAACCTGCTACATGAATCTTGTGTCTCTTGTGGCTACTTCGAAACGCAAAAGGTCCTGTTATCTTATAAGCAACAAACCCGTTCATTTACCGCCTTAAGAACCTCCTCTCAAAATACTCGTAGTCGTCGTTAAAGTGTAACTCATAAAGATTATTTTCACAAATCTTTAATGACGTTTAATAATGTAATGTAAATTTTCATCAACCCAAATCGCACATTAAAATTTGGTTCAGTAGCACAAAATATGCTCCTATATGTGGTAGTAAGAAAGCTATTTCCTCGTAACTAAAAAACATTTTAATTATTTGCGGAGTTGCTGAAAATTGTACAGAACGGCGTGATGCTTAACATTACATAAATTGTGCATGCCGCTTCATGTTCCCGTGGAGAATGTAACGAAACCTAGACCACCTCTGACGCCGACTGTCTTCTAAATAAGCCCGTGTGAGGGCACCAAATTCTTTTAATTACCTTTAAAAGGTGACTTAAGACTCGAGTGGTCATACTAGGCTTTGTTTTGAGTCTCTGAACGCCACTTTGGTTCCTTGACTACCTTTAATTGAGTTGCTAAAGGCAACCTAAAAGTGTATACCCGTCTGAGTTCTTACAGCCAATGTCAAAGAAATCTTCTGGCGCGACTTTAGTTGCTCCGAAGTGCGCAGTAATTCGTGCACTACTAGCCCTGTGGCTCGCGAAACTAGCGACACGCATTTCTATAGACAGACCTGACACTAACTTCATTATTGTATTTCTTTAAGAGCGATTCTTGGGCGCTTAACGAGACCTGTTGGTCTTAAGGCTCTGAGCCGTGGAAGTGACTGAGCAACTATCACTGTAGCGTTTATCGCTCCTTGCGCGTCCTTTATGGGCCATTTGATTACTCGGCCGAGATTTAAAAGATCGCCGTTTGTGTTTCTTATGATCGCTCTGCTTAGGAGTGCCTAGGACTCGCCTCACTCACGAAGTACCTACTTTATATGTGACTCAACGCCCCCTAGTTTAGCTTTACATGAACTTGTCTCAAACTTATCAAGGCAAATTTTATGACCCAGGTTTGCGAGCTTTGCCAAAACAAGATTATTTTCCGGTTCTACTTGTATTGCGACGCTCAGGGCTTCAGGTTTATATTTTTAAAAATTCAGTAGGATTTTTGTATGGCATTATTTTAAGGGCACATATCAGGTATAGATTTTCTTTTATTTGAGACGATCTTCATTATTGTTTCAAGATTTTCACTGAAATTTATTTTTCAGGTAATAATACAGATGAGATTCAATCGTCGAGATCGAGGTCCCGCAGTATATTATGAGGACGTGTTGCTTTATTGTCGTTGTTGAAGATGCGTAATTTCAACGTGTTGACAGGTTTTAACTTGAACCTTTACATAGCTCTTCCACTATACTTTATAAGGCCGGCGTTGGGCGTTCAGAAGTTGAGATGGCGCGCAGCTGAGGTTTTGAGCAAGTCAGGCCCTGCACATTATCCCAGGGCAATTAATGGGCTCATAAAATAGGCCATTCCGAGACCCACAAGTACCCATTAAAGATATTTTTAGATTTTGCTTCCGATGTGTTTGCACAGAGTTCTCTTTTAAGGAAGCCAAGTGCAAAGAGGTTCTTTTATAAGACAGGGTTGAAGCCTCTTGACTCATCACGCATGATGAACGCCTCAGGCTGGTATTTACTGATAGCTTTCAACGTGTTACTCACGCATCAACTCTGCTGATGCCATTATTGTTCATAGGATGTGAACTGCTCAAGTGGTGCCTGAGTTATACGACGCTACCAGCTAACCTTTAATTCGTTACCTGTGTCATAATTATAACTCGGCGTTGTTGGCAATGGCGCCAAACTGAACAAGAGCAAGTTCGTGATGCACAATTACATAAACCCACCTTAATTAAGTGAATGCTTCCAATGGAAATGATCTACCCGTTATTTTTCGTAGGGTGTTTAATTTTCCAATGTCAATTGGCTGTGTGTTGCCTATAGTGAATCCTGCCCTTCGTCACGCGAAGAAGTGCTTTGTTCATGTTTGTCAGGCGCAATTTCAATGCAGTGCACACCTTGACTTATTGGGCAGTTCTTCAACTAATTCACAAGTGAAAACAAAAGTTCGGAACCATTTGCAGCGTGCAAGTATGACGTTGACGCGTTCTTATTACTCCACGTAGATGTAAATCAGTCTTAAATTACCTGCATTAAAATAAATAAAATGAAATTTGCCGCTGCACTTACTGTGAGTCGGGAAATGTGTATGAGACATGTATAGCTTTATTGCATCACCTGTCTCTCTAT